GGGACTGTATTAAACACAGTGTAAAACCAGCCACTCAGATCCCCTTTCCGGTAGAGGTATACTGGCTAGTCTGCTGGCTGTTAGCAGCGGTTCTTCACATTTAGAGTAAATAATATTGAATTCAGTTGCACAGCCTCAGTAATCAGCCCCACTGTGTGTGGTGTGTGTGTGTGCATACATTCATGTTTGTGTATAGTTGTGTGTGCATGTGATAGATAGCCCAAGGTGCACTTTGCAGCATCTTTTCTATTTTTTCTCCACCTTATTTTTGAGGTGTAGTCGCTCACTGAGCATGGAGCTCATGGATTGGCTAAACTGGCTGGCCAGCAGACTCTGAGGAGCCTTGTGTAATTGCGCTCTGCTCCCCACTCTTATACTGGAATTATAGCCTCAAATTTCTCCTTCTCCTGGCTTTTATGTGGATGTTAGGGATCTGAACCCAGGTCCTTATATGTGCACGGCAAGCACTGTGTTCTCTGAGCCATTTCCCAGACCCACTTTCAGCAGGCACATGTGGGTAGAGCTGGCATGTCAGGCAGCACCAAAATGAAGCATCTTCCACACGGCAGAAGCTTTGTTAGTCAGACAAGGCTAGTTTAGAAGGAGAGATGATATAAATCATTGTCATTTAAATCACGTTAAATGACTTAAATCATTTAATCTCGCCCACCTTTCATATCGCTGGGGATGGGTTATTTCCCCCATCTGAGTCTCAGATTTCTTCACCAATAAGATGAATATAATATTAATCCTACTTCTGTGATTTCTTGTGCAAATTAAATATATTGTTGATTAAATGCCTGGTACCTTCCTAAAATAAACGTCTAGGAGCTAAAAGCCATTGTTTACCCAGAGTTAGATGGTCTCCTTTTCTCGAAGAGGGGAAACACTGTGTTTATGAGCTTAAAGCTGATAACTGAAGGATATTGCTGACCTGGTTTCCAGCTCGACAAACAGAAGGTACCATTTTAGGCTGCAGATAATCAGAGTTTGTTAGCCTGGTGTATTTTTATGTGTCTTCCTAACATGATCGAATTTGTTTTCCTTCTCTTCTTTCAGGAAGTAACCCTTCTGGCTTTGTTAGAAGCATGGTTTGTAATAATTGTACCCACCCCAGATGGCTCCCGAAATCCCTTTGAAATGCCATCTGTCAGGCGTGTGTCCAGCCAGCAGCCTGTCATTCTGTTACAAGAAAAGAGGAGGCGGGGCCCCTCCCTGTGGCCTTTTTCCCCAGCATCCTCTCTGAATGGATCCTGGGAAGTTGGCCCAGACCCAGAGTGGGTTGCTCAGAGCATCCCTGGGAGTAGCCCTCTTGGTAGCCTATAGTGAGGACAGGTTTCGTCTGGGTAATAAGCCCTGTGCGCTCAAGGGGTGGAGACTCACCCGCCTTCCCACGTCCTCCCTGCGGCTCAAAAGCTGCTTGAAGCAGATTTGTTTTCTTGGGAAGACCGAGTCTCTAGCAGCTTCACTTTTCTTGTAAAATGTAATGTTTGAAGTTCCTGATTATTTCTAATTCTTTCAGGAAATGAAGACCCAGGGGTGACGGTTGTCTTTAAAGTAAATCTGGCAAATTGGATGTGATTACATGTAAAAAAGAATCGGCAAATATGAGCCAGAGCAGGCAAAGGGAAAAACAGCACTCTCTGGTCTAGGAAGCCTTTTAAGACTCAGGGCATCTTTTGCTTGGTTTATTTTCTCCTCGTCTTCTTCTGAATGGGCTGGGTTGATGGACTGTAGGATGGAAACCGAGTATGAGTGTGCATGAGAAGAGACGTGGGGTGGATCCTCTCAGCGGGTCCAGAGATTGTACTTGTGCCCTGCACTGGGATTTCCTAGGATGACGTTGGCTGTTGCGTCTCACCAGGGTGACATTGGCTGGTGCATCTAAACAAGTTTTGCTCTTAGCTTCAGGACCCCACCCTCCTTTGCTTCCTCTTTCCAGGCTCCTGCTTAACCATCTTCCAGAATCTTCCTCCAATTCCTAGTGTAGTCAGTGGAAGGTTTTATGGTCCAGCCAGTGCTTCTTGGTTTCTTTTCCTCTACACTCTACTCAGATTTTCTTTTTCAGTATTTTGTCTTCAGATGCTCCTGACTTGCTGATAACTGATAACTAACTTCTCAATCTCCACTTGACCTTCAGATTTACAAGGTCACTGTTCCTCCAAGTCTCTGCACCAAAGTGTCTAATCTCACATTGAATGTGACCAAGGTAAACTTTCTGGCCCTCCCTCTTGCTATAGTTTCTTCTGTGATTCCGTGATTTCTACTTTTATTAATGGCGTCGTCAATTTGTCCATGTTACACTCTTTAAAAAAAAAAAAGTCTACATTGTTCTCTCTTAAATAGCATGTTGAGTTCACCAGCAAGTTACTTTATGTTTATTTTTAAAATGCAGGCAGAGTAGTTCTAAGCTTCTTGCTAAGAGAGAGGATATTTAAAGCAGAGACACGTGTGTTACTAGGCTGTTGAAACAGTGGGCTTCCCAAAACTGAACATGGTGGACATGATTCCACATTGATGGGAACTGCTTGGCTACACGTACCTCTCACTCTCCATGTAAACCTAAACCTCACGGCAGCACCCTGAAGATGGATCTGGGGCTCATCAGATGTTTTTACTTGTTCTCTTCCCAGTGGGTTACACTGGTCTGCCATCTTTCTCAGCTTTTCTTGACTATTGTCTCTTCTGTTAGCATATGGAGAATGGCTAATCAAACTAGCTTGTTGGGCCTTCTCAGACCTGGTTTTGACTCTGAAAATTCCAACAGTAGTATGATGTGATGAGTTTATTTGCACACACACACCCCATTTCATTTCTATTTATATTGATGGTTTACCTGCATGTGTCTGGAGGTTAGAAGAGGGTGTCAGTTCCCTGGGACTGGAGTTAGAACCAATTATGAACCATGGCCATGTAGGTGCCTCCTTCCTCCACTTTCCAGCATGGCGCTAAGATACATTCTTTTTACCCAAAATTATACTCTATGCTTCTCTACTTACATACATATTTTCTGTCTCACAGTAAAATGGTCAGTTTTCTTATGAACTTTGCCTCATTTACCAATTCTTTCTCTGTGCTTTTATCATCACTTGGCATGCATTGGGACCTTAGGAAATGCTTATTAAATAATTGAGACAAACAATGGCATCATATACATGCATATATATTGTATAATTGCAATTTGCTATAGTGGCATTGGAAATATAAGACTCTATAAACTCATTTAGTTCTAACAACATAAAAACAATCCCCACTAACAATTACTGACCACAGATATTCTCTCTGCAGACTTGCTCAGCAAGCCTGTGGTGTAAGTACCATTGTTAACCCTGTCTTGCAAAGAGGACACTGTTAAGTAGTAGAAACTAGGGAAGATGCCCGAGACTGTGAGTAGAGAACTAGACCATGAACTTGTCCTTCACATCCAGCCTCTGCTCTCCTGTGCTGTATGTTGATCTTGGTTTTCTCCAGTATTAACTGTGTGCTGGTGTCCGGTGCTTGTTTTACCTTTCTGGGGATGGAGTATGCTAAGCAAGCATTACCAATAATCCTTGTGATAACTGGGAGAGAATTTTAAAGACCCACGCTATCCCCTTATCCACTCAGTACCAGAAGGGGAAACCAACCAGCAAAGAACATAGGAGTTGAGTTCTGGGTGGCACCAATAGCCTCTTTGCCCAAAGCAATGTTGTGGGTGTGAGAAACTACCATTCTGTGAGAAATTTTGACACTATCTTATGAGACATTTGGATTTAAGATATTTTAAAATTTGGAGAAATGGTTTCAGCCTGAGCAGATTATGCAATAATTCTTGAGGGGTTTGACCTGAGAATGTCACAGCTACACAGGACATGCGTGTGGACGCTGCTTTATGCAGGGACAGGATCAGACGTGTGCTGCACTGAGGGCTTCAGAACTGCTGCTCGCATACAGTTGCTCCTTTCATTGCTTTACAATTGTAAGGAGAGAGTTCTGGCAAGAAGACAAACCCTGATTATTACCCTGGATAATGATAAATCACCAACCGTCGTGGATGATGCCTTGTGACCTCCACTCGAGTCTCTTCCCCTAGCTGTAGGCTTGCGAGGGTTACATGGGATCAGAGAACTTATTGTATTGGTCTGGTCTTGTTTCTCATAACATAATCACAGGTTCCCAGGACATACTGTGTGATTTTATCTTCCTATTTTTCTCCTTTGGTGTGGATGTGAACCACGTTCCCTTGTTGTTCTCCTCTTTGGTTGACACTGTGCAGAAGTGTGATAGATAGTTTTACAGTTCAGAGCCCGGGGAGAATGGCTTAAATGCTCTCTGTGGCCCGTGTCATTTCCTAAGAGAAATGGATACATTGATTAGCCGTTGAGAGTGTGAACAGATTCATTCAAGGGGAGTTTCCCTTTCGTCCACGGTGTCCTTTATCTGTCCTCTGAGCTCATGGGTGTCCACTTTTTATTGAGCATATGTAATTACCTAGAGAGAAGCAGCATTTTAATCCCTGGGAGATGTCCAGGCAGAGATTGAGCAGTCACATTTCTACAGGGCTATGTCTATGCAACGGGTGTCATTTTCTGCAAAGGCTTATTACACTGGAATTTGCTAGATGCATTATGAACAAGGACTTCAAGACCCAAGATAGCAATACAAACCCTTTAGGCTCTGGACTTAGGGTAGATAGATAACTTTGTAGTATCAGTGGTAGTCCTAAAAGCTGATAATTGTGAACATTGTCTGTGTGCCATTGGATTCAATTTTTCATTTGATTGCTACATTTAAAAATAAATGCTGACAGTGTCTCTGCCTTACCTGTTTCCCCTTTCCCCTGTTGGAGGGAAGAAGGGAGGAATTGGGGATGCTGTTCCATTAGAACGTTGCTTTTCCTGGGCCCCTCTTTGACTTCTAGGCAGAGCAGCTTACTGAGCAGGTTTGTTTAATTGCTCAGGTTGGAACTCCCTGTTCTAATGGACTGATGACATCCTGGACCTTTGTGTTTTCTGCTGCAGGCACAACCCGGTCTCCCCGAGAAGGAGAAGTGCCTGGCGTGGATTACAGCTTTCTGAGTGTGAAAGAGTTCCTGGACCTCGAGCAGAGCGGAACCCTGTTGGAGGTCGGCACCTATGAAGGTGAGCTTCACTGCTGCCCTGCGGCATCCCGAGTGCCTTCAGTGGTCCAAGCAGAGTGTTTAGACTCAGGGGAGTCTAAAGAAGTAAGAAGAGACTAGTCTGCCTTAATGTGGTGCATGCTTATCAGGTGTGGAAAGGCTTGAGAGATCTCTTTGCAGATAGTTCTTCTCTTTACCTTGTGAACTTAAGGACTGACGTTTTATGTTTTGATATGGACACTTGGACTGTTTCCCTGAATCATAGGTCTTCACAATGTGACCTTGGTGGTGTTGTTTTTACCTTGAAGAAATGAAATGCTGTGTGTACCACTAGTTGGTTTTACTTGGAAGTGTATCTTCACTGTTCATAAACATCAATGAGAACCCCTTCCTCTGCCAGACTGCTGCCTGTCTGGCTTGGATTCAGTGTGATGAGCGGTATGACTGGTGACCAGCGCTCCTGATTAATCGTTGAAGTTCGAGGATTCACATACATGCATGCATGCATACCCCAGGGTGTGTTCTTGTTTCTTCCTACTGTACACGGAGGATGGTGTGCCTCGCACGCTTTTGGTGCTTTGCGCTTCTGTTTCTTGCTGTGTCTTAATAGATCCTTGTCATCCAGTAATAGAGAACTTCCTGGTTCCTTTTCTCAAATCACTTCATATGAATGTACCATGATTTATAGCGCTTTCTCTCTCTGGGTAAACACTTTGGGTTATTTTTAACTTTTGAAGATTTATTTTGATTATTTACAAATACTCGTTATTTTTGCTCTTTCAGAACACTACTATATTTAATAACATGGTCATTAGCTATAGCGACTTATAGTTTATTAAGTTTCCACAAATAAACTTTCTATGTCAAAATGAGTTAGGGGAAAAGTTACATTTTCTTATCTGTTTAAGGGCTGTATTATAATTTATCTAGCTAATTCTCTCCATGTGAGTTTTCCATAGCTGATTTCTAAATATCTTCTTTTTTAATTGACATTCAGGTCTGATATTTCATCTATATGTGAGGATCAGATAAGGACACTTGACATACACTTAGAATCCCAGGACTGGGGACGTGGGAATGGAAGGTCATGAATTCAATACAAGGCTGGGTGCTATAAATGATGCTTAGTATTTAACACTGATCATTTGTGTTAGGGATATTCAGATTTCTTTTTACTGGCTCTTTTGAAGTATATAATCAATTAGTGGCAGCCACCATTACTCTATTATGCTATAGAAAGTTCTTCACCTTAGCTAATTGCATCTATGTTACTGCTGACCGTCTTCTCTGTCTCACACACACTTCCCGACCTCTGATGGCTTCTATTCTCCTCGCCTCTCCTGTTACAGAGCTAGTGTGTCTTGCATGTGCGTGTAAGAACAAGAGGTATTTGTCTTTCTGTGTGTGTCTGACACATTCACCTAGCCAAATATCCTCCATGCTCATCCATGTTGACACCAAGGATAGGTTTTTATTTTTATTTTTGAAGACAGTCTATATAGTCCAGGCTTGCATGATACTCAGCAGGTAGCTGAAGATGACCTTGAACTTGGTATCTTAATGCCTCTACCTTTGCAGTGCTGGGCTAACAACTTTCACCACCCCTTCTGTTTATGAGGTGCTGCAGAATGAACCTAGGGCTTCTGGCATATTGAGTAAGCGCTTTACCACCTGAGCTGCATCCTTAGCCCCAGTTTTCGTGACTTTTTGTGGGCGAATAATAATCCATTGTGTATATAAATTGTGTTTTCTTTATTTGTCTGTTGATGGACACTCAAGTTGTTGCCATGACCATTGTGAACAATGATAAACATGGGGGTAATGATGTGTTTTATACTCTGACTTCTGTTTTCTCTTGTATATACATTTTACTTTAATTGTTCAAGAATCCCTTTCCTCTGCAGGTTTGCTGTGTGCTTCTTTTGGTCCTTTTAGTAATAACCGCACCTGAAATGGGACAATACCTTGTTATGGTGTTGATTTGTTTTGGTGAAGACTGATACTAAGATAGTTTTAGGTACTTGTTGACCATTTATATGTCTTTAAAATGTTACATTTTTCTGAAACAATATTATAGCTTGATTATTCTTTGGAGTATTATTTGAAACAGAAGAGCTTAATATGATACAATTAACTAGGTTAAATTCTTAATTTATTCATAATTGTATTATGGATCTCTACAAGCTCTTAAAATGTGTATTGGATAATCATAGAGAAATTTTAAACATTAAGATTAAAAAGCAAAAGGTAAATGGAAAGCTCATTATTGATCTGCCTCCACCCCAGCCTGCCTGAAGACTGTATTTATTGCCTAGCCCACTTTCCAAGTAGGGACTCTAAACTGGGGCTGCCAAATCCATTCATGCCCATGGTGCACTCTACAGAAAGGGGCCCTACACTCTCATGACCTACTCCACCTGCTCCTGAAATCTGCCTGAGTAGTCCTCTTCCTATCCCTAGACTCCACTACAACTCTACTTAATCCCCTTCCCTGCCTGAGAATCATATGTCTTGTATAGGCCCTGAGATCCTATTCTTCAGATAGGGGACCCCATGCACACACTGTCAATTCCCCTCATTTCTGCTAACTAACAGGTAGTCCTAAGCAGACTCCTGAGGGTTGGCTTTAAGAATCTTCTCTTCCTTCTCTTTCTTCTCCCCCCGCCTTTTTCTGAGACAGAGTCTAACTATATAGCTCTGGCTGTCCTGAAACTCACTCTATAGACCAGGCCCCCGAGTTTGGGTTTAAAAGTGTGTGCCACTACACCCAGTCATATATATTTTCAAATATATGACATGGCTACTTTTGATTGTATCCCTATTAGAAGCCAAACTAATTACTAATTAAAATATGACAATGCAGTTATCTTATGGAAATTTGGGTTTTTTGTAGTTTTTTTATTAAAAATAGATGTTTTTCATATGATATATTCTGATCATGGTTTCCCCTCCCCCAGGCTCTAATTCTACAGAAACCCTCTTCTGTTCTTAGATACTACTCCTAGCCCAAGCTGAACTGGGATTGCTTGTAATATCCTATCAGGCATCAACAATGAATTGCCCCAAGACTAACTCCTAAACTCTCCTGAAATTAATCTGAAGTCTACATCTCTACAGATTGCTATAGTACTGAACAGAGATCTTAAACACCCACCCAACAAAGGAAAGGCAAGGTATCCAAACCAAGAGACCTTACCAAAGACCTAATCCCAGATTCTTAGGTCCCATCACCAAAACACAAGTAACATGGATGACCAATACAATAGGTCACCACCAAAAATCAGCCCTCCTAGAGTAATGGTCCTAAGAAAATCAACTTAGATGATGTACAAGACAATGATTTTAAGATAACAGTAATAAAATAATCAAGAAACTCAAAGAGGATCTGAATAAATGCTGGATTGAAGATAGTGAAAACACAGTTGAATGAAATAATAAAAGCAATTCAAACTGTGTAAACAGAACTTAGTAAGAGAGAAGCTCAGAAGAAGAAAAAAGCAAAATGAAATAAAACTCAAAAAATTCAGAGGAAAGCCTCACCAGTAGACTGGATCAAGAAAAAGTGAGACCTTCCTGGACCTGGAGGGAGGGGGGAGGAACTTGAACTACCCACAGGGCAGGAAACCCTGACTGCTCTTAGGGATGGAGAGGGAGGAGGAGAGGGAGTGGGGGGAGTGGGAGGGTGTTGGGAGGGGGGCAGAAATGGAAACTTTTATAATTTAATAAACTTTGAAAAAAAAAAGAAAAAATGAGAACGTCAGGTCTTGAGACAATCCAGAAGAGTTGATCACTTAGTCAAAGAATATATTAAATAAGAAAAAAAAACAGCAAAATGTCACAGACACAACATACAAGGGACTCCAGGACTCCATGAAAAGACAAAGTACCCAGTAATAGCAGGATAGCAGATACAAAAGGAAAGGCGACTCGGGTGGAAGACAAAGAAAATAGTCAACAAAATCAAAGAGGAAAACTTCCCTAATCTAGGAAAGGAGATGCCCATCGCAACCCAAAGGCATACAGAGCAACAAATAAACACAACCAGGAAGAAACTTTCCACATAAACGTGAAAATAGCAAACATACAGAGCAAAGAAAGGACATAGAAGAGGAAGAGGTGCTATTTCAGTGGAGACCGGAAAACCTGAAGCAGTTGTACAAGCCATAAAAGACATCAGATTCTAGGCCAGACTACCATACTCAGCAAGATTATCACTTGTATCAAAGGAAGAAGGAAAATTTTTCATAGTTAAGTCAGATTTTAGGAATTTAGGACCACTAAGCCAGCAGCTCTACAGAGAGAGATGTGGAGAGAAGGTTAAACATGCCTAAGAAGTTATAGGAAATAGAACACATAATTTAAAGATATCTAATGAAATACCACAAAGTAACAGGAATTAGTACATATTGCTCAATAATTCTTTTCTCTTTGGGTGGGGGGGGGGTTGAGATAGGGTTTCTCAATAACTTTGGAGCCTGTCCTGAAACTAGTTCTTATAGAGCAGGTTGACTTCAAACTCACAAAGATTCGCCTGCATCTGCCTCCTGAGTGCTGTGATTAAAGGCGTGTGCCAGCACCGCCTGACTTGCTCAGTAGTTCTTAATGGTCTCAACTCCTCACAAATACACACAGACTAACAAATTATATTAGAAAATGGGGTACATTTTTTTTTTTTGCTGCTTCCAGGAAATACACGCCACACTCAATAATAAACACCACCTTATGGTGAAGTAAAAGGAAAAGATATGAAACTAGAATCAAGTAGAATAGTTAATCTAATATCTGGAAAAATAGGCTTCAAACCAAACTACTCTGAAGAGATAAGGAGGAATACTTCATACTCATCAAAATATTAATCACCGTCTAACCATATATGCACCAAATACAGGAACAGACAATTTTATCAAAGAATCACTATTAGATCTAAAGCTACAGATTGATCCCAACATGGTGATAGTGGGTGGTTTCAATTCCACACTTAGCAGGAGACAAGCCACTGAGGGGTGAGTCTATACTCAGAAA